CCAGATCTTCCGCTGGTGTCAGTCAGTGCCTCGGCTTCAATGGGGCTGCATCAATTTGCCTTAGGAGAGGGTGTAATGTGGGAAACAGAGATAAAGGAACTCATGTTCTAGCACCCTATATCCTATATAATTGCTATAAGAGCTCAGCCCAGAACGGGTTTGCCAGATGCTGGGGTGGTGCAGAATCCAAGCTGTGTTTCATGGGCAGGTTTGTACATCCAAAGGGAGGCAGGCTGTGGCCAGGATGGGATCATTCCCACCCAGAGGTGCCAGTAACGAGGCAGGATATGGCTGTATGGACCTCAGCACGGCACCCCTCTCATTGCTGGGCTTGCTCAGGCCGTGCCTCCCTGTCCCCTCTGCTCCTCTGACCCACGGGAGCTGGAGTGAAGCCAGCACAGGTCTGTGAGCTGGAGCAACAATCACACCTTTGTTTTGTGGGCAGATGAATAGACAGATAACAGCGAGTTAATGGAGGGCAGCCCCTTCCCCCCAGAATGTCAGTCCTATCACTCACCTCCTCCCGCAGCAAACGAGGCCTCGGGGACAGAGAAAGAGCGCAAAGATTAAAACTAACTTTGGAACTGCTCGGCGAAAGGGGCTGATAAGAGAGGGCTGAGATGGGGAATCAGATTTCAGTGGTAACAAATGAATAACCAGAACATGGAGGGATGCCGAAAGGGTTATCGGAACAGAGCGAGATGCTGAGCACGTCCCAACAGCTTCTCCTCTGGAAAAAAAAAAAAAAAAGAGGAAAGGTGTTTCTCTTGTAGCAGCTCCAGACACAAAGAGCTGTTCAGACCACTCTGAGCCCACCAAGACCCTGGAAAGACGAAAGACAGTCCCAGAGCTCTGGTGGAGGTTTGTGAGCTGTTAGTCCAGCACAGTTTCCATGCTGGCAGATTCCCGGGAGCTGTATGCCCTACTGTTCTGTGCTCTCGCCGGGAAGCGATCAGCACTGGAAACACTCGGGGAGTAGACAGGGCTCATGCAGCAGGCTCTGGCTCAGGCTGGGCAATGTGGTTTCAATTTAGGAGCTCTCCTCTCAAAGCCTCCATGAAGGCAGCCTGGATAGAAAGTCCATGTTCTTACAGAGCAGGAGTGCTGGGAAGGCTGTCCCCACCTCTAAAGGGGGGTACGGCTCAGCAGCAGAGGCTTCACAAAAGTGCTGCAAAGGTGAAGTTCACACCTCTGCAGATCTCACAAAGAAGTCTTTGGATCACTGTGTGATCCAAGTTGTGTATTTCCCATGCTGAGACAAAGACTGTTCGTATATTCTTTGCACAGGACAGATTATCAAGAGTCAGCAGTACAGAGGGAGAGGCACCAGGGAGCTTTTCCTCTTTCCGGGATGTTGAGGAAGGGGATGTCACTTGCTGTCTTTCATCCCAGTAGAGATTGCAGGGGGATGTTCAGCTTGGAGCAGGAAGGCAGAGAGCTGTGGCTATTCCAGCAAGTGCACAATTAGCAGGATTCTCCCTGTTAGCTGGGACATCTGGCTGGAGCCCTGAAAAAGGCTAAAAACAGGCAAAGAGGATCCTGGGGCCTTGTCCCTCCTGCCTGCAGTGGGGTGACCTGGGCTGGTTTTGATTCTGTCTGTAAAAATAAAAGGAAGCCTGAGGAAAGGGAGGAGGAGAGAGCTGCCTTTGAGAATTTGTTTTCCCATTCCCAGTGGCTGAGCCTGTCTACTCACTCACTCGGGCACGTAGTAGTTAATACAATTTTCTTGATAATAATAGATTGGGGGCTCTGAAAAGCCAGCAGGTGGGAGCCAGATAAACCAGTTGGGAAGGTAAACATGGACAACTCTTTGGGTGGCCCCAGCCATCTTTGGCAGGGCTGTGGCAGCCTTAGCTGTGGGGTTGGAGTCCCATCTCCATCTGTTCTTGGGGCCAGAGAGCTCCCTTGAGTTAGACCACATCAACATTGTCATCAGACACACCTCAACAGGTGTCTTTTTTTTTACCACTGGTTATAATAGGACAAGGCCTCACGTGAATGCAGTGATTTTGGTGTTAAGGTGACTTGTACTTTTCTCTCCCAAAAGAGAGATGTAGCTTCCCCTGTTCTAATACACTCAAAGATGCTCTACCTTTGTATGTAGATGAGATGTTAATGGCAGAGACTTCATCTCAGCGTGGTGAGGGTGAGCAGGAAGGTAATTATAGGCTTGGTTTTATTGTTCTTATATAAAGCTACTGTGAATATTTCCCACCCCAGCTGTGGCTCCCAGCCTGCCTGATCTTACTTTCCACTGCAGTGTGTATTTTAGATCCACAGACTCAGGGTTACGTGGCAGGGTCTCACAGAAGGGCTCATTTCCCCTGTGCCATGGTCTCAGAGGCAGACCTGTGTCTGCAGATTTGGGTCTGTGTGTGAAGCCAGTCTTGATAGCCAGTTTTCTAGAGCCAAGTCCCCAAAGCTGGATTCTTAGACTGTGAGATTTTTAAGGTTACTTGAAACCTGAACTTCAATTGCACCCTAAACCTTGTGAGCAGTGTTTGCACTTAGGGTAAATCAGACCGATGTTATACCATCAGGAATCATTCAATAACTTTAACTGTCCTGTGTAAACACCTTCCCTCTGCAGAACACAACCATCCTGAGCCTGACACTCCTCTGCAAGAGCTGGGCTGTGGCTCAGAGTGCTTTTGTTGGGCTCTGGGGTTTTCTGGCTGTGTGGCAGTGCTGGCTGAGCCTCGTGGGTGGGCTCAGACACGTGGGGACCTTCCCTCACCGTCAGGAGAACTATGCTTCTGGAAATCCCAAACTAACGGGGTCATTCCTCAAGTCCTTTCAGATGAGATTGCCAAGCAGGGAAATCAAGGGCAGAAAAAGGAATGTGCAACAGTGTTTCTTAGGCTGTGTGTTTTTCCTCCCCAACAGTTCTTGACAAGTTCTGCAAAATTACTTCATAAAACCTTTCCCTGAGGTGAGAGTGTTCTTGCACCCTGCAGAAGCAGAAATCTCTGCAAGAGCTCAGCAGGCATTTCACACCTGACTGAGTACTAACAGAAACATTTAAAAAATATGAAAAAAACCACCATTCTTTAGGGTTTCATCCCATGTCCAGCAAAGATACCCATCAGGGATCTTACAGCTGAACAATCCTTGTGATTGCACAGTTAGGTCTCTGTGATTCTTCGGGGAGATAACAAGAGATAACAGCCCACATCCCATGTAGTAACTGTGGTAGGGTTATCAAACCTCGTCTCACCACCTTCCTGATGCCGGGTCACAAATCCTTCTGCTGGATGCCTGTAGGACCGGCGTGTTGGAACCTGCGAGCTCTGCAATGACAGTGGTATTAGTATTGCTCCCATTAACACCACGACTGCTGCTAATATGTTAATGAGTCATATCGTTAATAGATTAAGAGTGAATGATGTACCGAGGTAATGTGTGTGTGTTCCACCTTGATTTCAAGTGAAGGTCATTTGCAAATGTCACGCATGCCTTGCTACGGGGATGTGTTTCCCTGCTTAGGAACTCCGGAGCTGCAGAAACATTTGGCATCGCTCCTGTTTTCCTAGAAGTTTTCCACGGAGTTGCTGTTTGCTAAATGGTGCTGCTCATTTTGCTCTTGTTTTCCTTAATGAAATAAGAAAGAACCCGATTCTGTATTTTTGAGAGGCCCAGATTTTCCCACTAATTTTGAAGGGAACTGGGAAGACAAGAAAAAATACAGGGCCAGCCCTCAGACGTGTTCTTTGAGGTAGTAGGGAAGGGAGAGCAAAGCATTGCTCTTTCTGACTCCTGCAGTCTCAGAGAAAATTCCCAGAGAAGCCCCTTTAGTACAATAATATCCTTAGTATGCCTCCCACGGCCCAGACAATGCTCGTGCAGCACGTGGACAGTGATATTCCATCAGGACCATATTTGATTGATATTTGCAGGTTTGAAATTTGATGCTGCGACTTAATTTTTGGTGGAACTGTGTTCCCTTCCAGGGGAAATTCTTGTGTAAGAAAGAAAGGAAAGGGGTGGGGGAAGAAAAAAAGAAAAGGGCGAGAATGATAGAGGTTGTGATAGTATTACGTTACCGATTGGATAAACTGACAAAACAGCCCACTGTGACTCGGGGAGCTTGATTTTGTACGTTTTGGCAACTTCTGAAAGTAGAAAATGAGAGCAGCACTGTCAACAGGGCTTTTGATATTTCTGGGTGTTTATACTAGAGATGAAAGTGCATTCTGAATGAGGGGGAAGGCAGCAGGCCAGATCCTGACTCTGGCGACAAGAGGTGATAAACTCTGCAGATCTGCCCCCCATAACAGCGGGTAGGAAACGGTTCTCCTGTTGCACAAGATGCTGGGAGATTGCAAGTTTTTTCCATGCTGTTTCCATCCAGACACGGGGTCTGTGAAGGTTTGTTTTTGCTGATCACTGCAATAAACCGCTGGACAGCCAAGTCACTCGCTCGGCGCTCGGGAGATCCAGCGTCACGTTCCGGCTCCTTCTGGTTCTCTGTTCTGCAGAACTGGGCTCGCTGTTACCAGCAAATACTTTATGACTTACAGCCAGTACGAAGTGACTCCCACAGGAAAGCAACATCCAAGAATGGCCTCTTGCCTGGGGGTTAAGATATCCCTCTTGGATTTAGGAGATCCAAGTTCAACTCCCTGATCTGTATCAGGCCTTCAGAAGTGCATCTTCTGACTGCTGAAATGGTTGGCTGCCCTGGCCAGGTTTTTTTGTATGTGTTTTGACCAGAAGATTCCTCCTGGGCCAGAGGAACCTTTTCCCAGTGGAAGTTTTGCTGAAGCTGGTGTTGAAAAAGCAGAAAACCATGTTGAGGGGCAACAACGACCTATCAGAACCAATTAAGGATTCAGACAGATGTTTGCCAGCGAACTCTGTGCCACTGTGTCCTTTAGCTAAGATTTAATGGAAAGAGCTGTAAATCGTGGTTCTGATTAGCCAGCAAGAAAGGTGTCTGTCAGTGAGTTCTGCCACCCTTACTCATGTGCAGTGTTTCATTTCCCAGGTCATCTCAACTGTTTGGCTGGACCATCCCTGCGAGGCTCTGCCCGGCTCCTCTCCCGGCTCCTCTCCGCCTCCAGCACTGCTGTCAAGGGAAGCAGGGACTCCAGAATTCCTGCAGTCTTTGGTAAGCTACAACTTCCTTCCTTGCTCACAGCTAATGAGAAAGGCTTCACCTCTTCTCCAAACCTGCTGGCCTGTTTGTTTGTAGAGGCCAGGATCCAGACAGGATGGGTAATGCTTCAAACCAGACTTGGACCTGGGATTTAGGCCGGTCCAGCTCAGCTGCACAGTAGAGTTTTTGTTGGGTGGAGGCATCTTCGTGTCCTGCTAGGGACATAAGATCTCACCTCTAAATAAATGGTCTGCCCTGCAGGGTAAGGTGATTCTCAACAGGAGTGAGGCTGGTGGAACCGGGGCTTATAAAAATATCTGAGCAGGGGAAGAAAATAACTGCTGTTTTCCAAGAAGATGCACTTTTCTATTTTAACTTTTTAAGGCTGTGATAAAATTAATGTTGCCTGTGATGTAAAGCTGAAGGGTTGACCAGAACTTCCTTTGTGGTCGAGCTCTTTTTTTATTGATTGATTTTGAGTCCTCTAAATTTGTCGGGCTCACAAGTGCAGTGGTGGCTTCAGTTATAAGAGAATGTTTGTGTCTTTAAGGAAAAATACAGTGACCCCTTCTCCCCCTTGCCCTTCTCAACCTTGCAAAGAAACCAACACTTGGCCAGAATATTTTTTCTCCTTCGGTGAAAAATGTTGATTAAATATTTAGAAAAAAATAGCAATTAAACCCCCCAGCCTCTTAAATCCCAAGAATCTGTAATGGAAAACTGCTGAATATGGAATTGTTGCATAATTGTGGCTGAGAATGCACATTGGCAATTTTTTTGGTAGAAGCTCAGAACTTTAGAAGAAATGTCTTGAAAAAATCACTTTTCTATTGATAAAAAGAGAACTTTTTTCAAGCATTTCTATGCAAGTTGTTCTGCTGTTGAGTTGGCTGAGCAAAGCCATGGCCACTGAAAGACACATGAAGGACTTTCTGTACTCATTTTGTTTTTAATTCCTGAGCCAGAAATTGTTCCAGTTCAGCTTTTTGGTCATTCTCCACACCAGATCAGACATCAGGGTTTGGGCTGGGATCATCTGAGTGGTCAAGTCCAGTCTTGTCACACTGTACTGCTGCTGCTCAACCCCTCAGGGTCTGGCACCCAGAGCTCTCTGCGTTTTTGGGGCACATCTTTGCTTAGCTGGTTTTACTGGGGTTAGAATTCCTGCTCTTATTAATCCCCAGTGGCACACTGTGCTTTACTGCTGACTCGGGTTTGTTCTGCAGGCAGGGTGCCAGTGTGGTGTGTGCAGGTACAAACCGTGGAGTGGCCAGGTGGGATGACCAGCTTATGGGAAGTCGGGGGCAAGAACAGCAGAGCTCAGCTGAACTCTGTGGAGTGAGGTCACAAAGGACTCAGTCCTGGAATAATTACAGAATTGCTCACCTTCCTTCGAAATCCATGCCTGCTTGGGCAGCTGGCCTTTGAGCGTAGAAATGTGTGCAGTCTGGGTCCATGAGGGGAATTCAGGGAAGAGGAAAACAAGCAATATGAACATGGAAGAGCTTCACAAATCCATGTAAGCCCTGCACCGTTTCTCTTGTTCCCTGGGCAGGCTGGCTGCTTCTCTAGTGCATTCAGGGGTCCTCGGGGTCTTCGTCTTCTCTCCCGTCTGACGGAGAGAAGAGACAGATACTGGCAATCTGCCAGACTGGGAAGAGAAAAGGTGGAGCCACGTTTTGATATCAGTTGAGATCATTGGCACCATTTAGGATGTGGACTTCTCTGTTTTGTTTTCCCTGAAGGAAAAGAGATACAGAGAAATTAAAGGAGCTCCTGTGTGTGATTGCACTGTCAGTCAGCAGCAGAATCAGCCATGTAGGTTGCCTGTGGGGGTATTTCTTCATGTTGGCTCAGTGTGGCTGTAGTTGAAGTCAGTTTTTGCAGTGATCTCTGTTATGGGAGCTGAGGTTGGCCGTTCCTCATCCAGCATCCCAGCTGGCCAGGAGTACAGCTCCAGAGTAAAGCAGATGCTCACAAGGTACACAAGGTAGTTTCCAGTGAAAGCAGAAGACAATGAGATTTCTTTGCGCAGACCTTTGTTTCAAAGGGTATTTTGGGGTGCTAGTTCACCTTTCCTTGGGTCTCTTGCCAGCAGGTGGGAACCTTTTCAAGTTGTCCTTTTTCTGAGAAGGGCTGAATCGTCCGCCCTAAAGCATCCCTTAATGCAATTAAAACCAGCAGTACTGCTTCTCCAACACTGGGGCCTCCGATACTGGGAGGGGAAGCGGTGGCTCTTCTTTGAAGTCCCACCTACGTGAACATCAGTGGCAGGACTTCAAAGGGAAGCTGCTATTTCCTGTTGGAGCTCAGCCCTGGTGCTCAGCACTGCTAACAAAGCAGTCGGACTGGTTGCAAAGGCACTGATCCAGCAGAGAACTTAAGCACATGCTTAAGTCCCTCAGGACTCAACCACATGGTCTGCTGGGTTGGGACTCACTGGAGACTGGACTGATGGTCAGGGTTGTGTCCCCCAGGTCGGATTTTCAAGGGGAAGAGCCAGGTTAAAAAGCCTTTCTCAAATGTCTTGATGGGTTCTGCAAAGCTGGGCTCACCATTTGTGACCTTGGGGCACCTGTGCAGCAGCAGGAGGTGGAAATACCGTGCTATGGAATTCAGCAAACAACCTGGAGATGGACAACAGGCCACAGTAACTGTGCTTGTAAATCAGGGATTCAGAGCCAGCCTAAATCAGCATTGCTGAGTTCACCTCAGAGGATCTGACCCAATAAATAGAGTTGTAAAGGTGGGAGTCTATTTGCAAACAGGTGAGAAATGCTACAGGCACAATCATTCGGCCCCACCTTTTGCTGAGTAATGTTTTCCTTCAGCGTTAGTTCCTCTGCTTTCTCGGGAGCTACTTGCAGACTAACGGGTGGCACAGCAGGGATGTAATTTTCTGACAAGCATTATTGAGCTAATTCATACAATCTGCACCAACTTATTCTCTCAGTGTTTGCCCTCAGGCTACAGACAGACCTTGTGGTCGTGATCTGCAGCTGAGGCGCAGGTACCGCACTGCCCTAGCCCTGTTCTCAGCATCATCTCATCCCCTCTTCAGCAGAACAAGAGCTTCTCCCTCATCACAACCTACACTGAGCCTCATGGTTGCCTCATGTGTAGCAATTAAAAGATGTCTGGGAGACGTTCTGTGCTTACAATTGGAAAGGCTGCTCTTCCTTGAGGAACAGATGTAGTGGATTGAACACAGTAGGGTGTGGGAATAAACAGGTCACAAAGCCTGAGAAACCCCAGTGGATTCCAGGTCCTCTCCCTGAGGTTCTCCTGTTCCTCGGGTAGCTCAGCCTGCCAAACCCGATCGCAGGCTGCAGCTTTCCTCCACCTCGCTCTTCTCCCTATAGGGGAACTCACTGCCTGCTTGCTAATCCCCCATCCCAAGTGAGTGAGCTGAGAGCAGTGCATTTCCCAGAGATCATCACCCGAGACAAGCTAGAAACCTCTTTGTTTGGGTTAAGAAAACACCGGTGACACCGAGAGGACACTGATCTGTCCCAGCAGACATCTGCCCGTTCATCCAGGTTCCCGGACAGCGCTCCTGATGGATCTTACCCGTGTGGACGTGCGCTGTGCAGTCAGCGCTGACTGAAGCACTAACCCAGTGCTGGGCTGGCCTGTGTGCGAGAGAACTGCCCAGCTCTTGGAGCTGCCACAGGTGTCTCGGCTGGCCCTGAGAAGTTCCCTCGCTCTCTCCTTCCTTTGGTGTCCCACTGTAAATTAGGCTGATGACTGCTCACCCGTGTGGCTGCTGGCCAGCGAGTGAGGGGTTTATCTCACTGCATGTTGTATGGGTACTAGGTTTGCTCTGGAGCAGGATTCGCCTGTAAAATGTAGGAATAACATTAATAGCCAATCGAGACGAGGGATTTTTTTTTGGAAGGATTTCTTCCAAGGGCTCTTTGGATTCAAAGAAGGTGCATTTTGTTAATCTTCTTCATTTGTGTGGTTTCTACCCACGGGTTGGTACTAAAAGGGTTTTATCCGATTCAGGGTGTACATGCAAATATTTCTATTTGAATAATACTGGAGAATAAATTTAGAAATGTTTGAAGAGGGTATGAATACCTCAATCTGCTAGGTGGAAAAATTACTACTTCTTGTGGGTAACCCAACCTGTTTAAGTTGCTAAAAACATACCTGACTTAAAAAAAAAAAAAAAAAAAAAGGGAGAGAGAGAGAGAAGAAGGAATAGTTGAAAAGAGAGCTTTTTAAAAAAACAACTCTCTTCAGATTTCGACTTCAATATTTCAGTATGCAACAGTATTTTCATAACTGCAGCTTTTTTGGGCAGAGGTGGGGGAAATTAGAATATATTAAAGAACTCTGGAAACCACTTTCTATTTGTAAAACATGTTGTGTGTGTATCATAACACCTACAGGACTTGTAGCTCTGCCAGGCTGTGCATCCACTGCCAGAATTTTCCTCGCTAAATGACATTATACTACTTTGTGGGTATTGAAAACAAATATTTTGAGGGGAGGGACCATTCTCATCCATAAAACCTTCGTGGTGCTCGCAGTGTTCAGTCATAGAGTTTTATTTGAAGGCTGCTGCGTTTTTCAGCTGCTTGCCATGAGCCAAAGGATAGGTTTGAGGAATGTTTGCGTGCTCTCCAGCTGTTCTCTGGTGTATATTTTTTGCAATCTAGCAGCCCCTAGGGGCTCTGGAGGAGATGAGGGCCTCGGGATGCTGGGCACCGTATGGACAGGGAGCAGAGGGCAGTACTGGAAATGAGGAGTGTGGTGGTTCATGCAAAGAAGTGCAGCCCCACCGTGGGTTTTCTTGCCCAGGGTGGTGTGGATGGAGCAAGGCATGATGAGGTGTGGCAGGTGAAGCCACGGGGCGCTGCAGCTGCTGGCACAGGGTCTGGCGTGTGGCACTGGGGCCTGGAGAGGTGGGAGAGCTGCGCTGTGGGCTGGCAGGCTCTGCTGCTGCTGGACACCTTGCACAAAGGCTGCAGCGCCTGGGAGGTGCCGGGATCTGCTGATAGCTG